CCCTCCAGCCTAGGCGATGGAGTGAGACTCCATCTCAAAAAAAAAAAAAAAGAAAAAAAAAGAAAAAGAAATGCAGATTTTTAGGCCCCACTCGAGACCTGCTAAACCAGAAACTTTAGGGGTGAGACTCAGGATATTGTGTTTTAATAACTGCTCCAGGTCATTCTGATACATAATAAAGTTTGAGAGTCATCGCTCTACAGCAATGAGCTCATTTTATGCACATTTATTAATTTTTGTGGCATAAATTTCCTGGGCATCTACTACGTACTAGGCATGAGCATTGTGCTTCCTTTAGGAGGAAGATCACAAAACACCCGGAGGAGAATAGGTGGGAGTGGGAAACAGAATAAAATGATGGATATGAGAGAAAAAAGAGAAAGCTAGACAACTGGTTTTAACACCTTACTGTTTCCCTCATTAGTTAGTTGAAGAAAATCACTGGCATGTGCTTACTTTATATTTGCATGAGCATTATAATTTTGCCTTTTTGAAAACCATACTCTAGCAATGACTTTTTTTTTTTCCTTTTCATCAAAATAGCTCGGAGGCTGTTAGTTAAACATTATTTCCAAGTCCTTTAACAAGGTGTTGCTCTTGTTTTAAATCTTCGAAAATCATGAAATTGATTCTAAAACAATCTTCCAAATTTCTACTTGCTATCCCTTGGGACGAGCTAGTGAGTTTTTGTTGCCTCAATATAACTAACGATCAACTGGATGTCACAGTATAGTATATGGCAGTGCCTGTGATGTGCTCTTTTGTTGTGGTGTTAGAAATGCATTTACATTTAAAAAATTAAACAACAGTGACAAATGAGTTCCCCAAGATAACTTAGATCATGAGGAAAAATAGACAGCTGCAAGAATAACAGACTGCATTTATCATAACAGAAAGGGAACTTTTAAAGTGTGGTATTATTATCAGGATGCAGGACTAAAACACCAGACATGCAGTTTCCCAGTTCATTCCTGAAATGCAAGTCAACATCATGCCAGCTGCTAAATGAAAATCAAATCTTACTTAGCTGCTTCTGATGCTTCCCTCAGTTCTTCATCCAGTCTGCATTAGCAAAAAATGATCGGTATAGAAAAGAAACAAAAAAGAAGCAAGCAGAGCATGAGAGAGTCACTCAGCAAAGCAGTGCCAAACGGAAGTGGTGCGTGTTTGCTTTAAGAACTGTCCTCTGGAGCACTGAGACACACTCCTTCAATTACATATAGCGTCATTTCCTCTGATTACGTGTTTATGTATGCTTGCTTTGCAAATTTCTTCATAAAAGGCAGATAGAAAAGTTGCAAGGGGACCAGAGACATGCTGGCTGAATAAAGCTGAAAACATTCACATCAATCCGGTGGGTACAGTTAAAGTTAGCTTGCAGCCTGTGCCAAGTGAGGGATGTATCTGGTTTAGTAGGTTTCAGTTGCAAATAGGTTGACCTCAACAGCTTTACACACAGGACAAAGACTGAGAATGGTGTACAAAGGACTGACACAATGACCTCTTGCTCTGGTAGCATGTTGAGGTCACCTATGGTGTACACACACACACACACACACACACACACACACACACACACACACACACACACACAGGGTCCAGCGTGAATTATAGATCAGGAGATTTTTACCTCACACTTCTCTTATAAGATCTTTCTTCATCGTACCTTATGAGATAAAAGACGAATGCCATGAGGAAAATAAGAAAATAGATGGAAAATATGACAGGCAAATGTTTTAAACGACAGTCAAAATATAAGAGAGAAAGCCTCGCCAATACAGTCATGCATCACACAAGGACGTTTTGGTCAACTGTGGAACACACAAATGATGGTAGTCCCATAAGATTTTATAACATATTTTTCCTGTACTTTTTCTATGTTTAGATATGGTTTTGCTACACAAATACCACTGTGTGACAACTGCCTGAAGTATTCAATTCAGTAATATGCTGCACAGGTTTGTAGCCTAAGAACAATAGGCTATACCATACAGCCAAGGTGTGCAGTGGGTTTTACTCTCTAGGTGTGTGTAAGTGTACTCTATGATGTTCACACAAGGGTGAAATCACCTAAAGATGAATTTCTCAGGACATATCTCCGCCATTAAGTGATGCATGGCTGTCATAATAAAACTGGCTCTTAGAGAAATCTTATTTTTATTAGATACAACCGGTGATTTATAATTTATAAATATATGCAGTCAATTCTCATTATTTGCAGACTCTATATTTGCAAATTTGCCTAGTCACTGAAATGTATTTGTGACCACAAAATCAATATGAGGCACTTTTGGACACGTGCAGAGTTGTGAATAATTTGAGTTGCCCAGTGCACGTTGCCACATGACAACGTGTGAGGCTCTGTCTTCTTGTTTCATACTGTAAACAAGGTCCTTTTCACAGCCTCATTAGTGCCATATTTTTCTCACTTTAAAATTTTTTGTTGGTAATTTTGCTGTTCAAATCGGCCCCCCCACACAGTGCTGAAGTACTGCCTAGTGTTCCTAAGTGCAGGAAGGCTGGGATGTGTCTTACGAAGAAAATATGTGTATTAGGTAAGCTGTTGAGGCACGAGTTACAGTACTGTTGGCCATGAGTTCAATGCTAATAAATCAATGGTATATGCTAAGTAAGCCAAGACACACACAAAGCAAGGTTATATATTGACTGGTTGAGTTCGGTGGCTCAGCCTATAATCCCAGCACTTTGGGAGGCTGAGGCGAGTGGATTGCCTGAGCCCGCAGGTTTGAGACCCACCTGGGCCACTTGGCGAGACCTCTTCTCTACAATAAATCAAAAATTAGCTGGGCGTGGTAGCGTGTGCCTGTAGTTCTGGCTACTTGGAAGGCTGAGGTGGAAGGATCGCTGGAGCCCAGCAGGTTGACACTGGGGTGGCTGGGAGCGTGTCACTGCACTCCAGACTCCAACTCAAAAAATAAAAATTAAAAATTAAAAAAAAAAAAAGGAAAGTAATGAGGCTTGCAGGGGCCTAACCTGTGTTTTCCCTTGGAAGAATAGTTCAGCATTCCCTAATTGTTAGCAGTGACTTCATAGACTATAACTGCCACAAACAGTGAGAATCAACCATAATCAATGATTATGAATCTGATTTCAGGTTGGGCAAGTTTTCCTTTCATTCAAGTCCTTTGGTGACAGGCTCCATCTCAGGTGAGTACTGGTCTTGGGATTGGCCGAGATCAGGTCCTTTGACTGTCATCCAGTAATAAAAAAAGAGCCATGGCTTGTATCAATTTGAAATGTGCATAATAAGAAATGGAGGCAATCAGGGCCTGTAATAGAAATGGCAGACAGGACATCTCAAGGAGATGAGTTACAGAAAACAGAAGAAACACCGACATGTGGACAGGACATGAATGGAGCTGAAGTTTTTCCTCCAGAAAGAAATCTTTCCTAATGGAACCCTTCCTCCTGAAGCAACTTTTCCCAAATGGAGTTCTTGAAAACGAATGTGTGTAGCTGAATGCAAAGTGTCCTGGTTATACATACGGCCTCTGTTGAACTTTCCCATATGACAGCGAGTCTCCAAAAGCAACATGATTATAATAAATAACATTCCCAGTTGCCAATTCTGGGCTGGAGGCTGTGAGTATACTATGAACATTGTTCTCATTCTGTCCTCAGGACCATTCCATGAAGTGCAAATTACTTCCCCATTTTACAGATGCCAAAGCGAGACTCAGAGAATTTTAATAGATTGCCTGGCCGGGCTTGGTGGCTCAGCCTGTAATACCGCGCTTTGGGAGGCCGAAGTGAGTAAATTGTCTGAGCCCACGGGTTCACGACCTGCCTGGGCAACTTGGCCAGACCTCATCTCTACAATAAATCAAAAAAATTAGCCGGGTATGGTGGTGCATGCCTGTAGTTCCAGTTACTTGGAAGGCTGAGGTGGAAGGATCGCCGGAGCCCAGCAGGTTGAGGCTGCGGTGACAGGGAGTGTGCCACTGCCCTCCAGCCTGGGTGACAGAGTGAGACTCCTACTCAAAAAAAAAAAAAAAAAAAAAGATTGCCTGAAGCCTTAGAGATATTAAGAGGTAGGCTGGCTGCCAGTGGCTCACACCTGTAATCCCAGCACTTTGTGAGGCTGAGGTGGGAGGAATGCTTGAGCCCAGGAGCTCTAAATCAGCCTAGGCAACACAGCAAAATCTCATCTGTACAGAAAATAAAAAAATTTAGCTGCGTATGGTGGTGCCTGCCTGTAGTCCCAACTACTCAGGAGACTGAGGAGAAAGGATCACTGAAGCCCGGGAGGTCAAGGTTGCAGTGAGTCGCAATCATGCCACTGCACTCCAGCCTGGGCGTGAAGTCTCCAGTGTCCGTTCTTCCTTCATTTTATTGCCTCTGTCACACTATGGAAGCGTTACCGTATTTATCTGGAAAGTGGCCAAAATCAATTCCACTAGAAGAGACAATGACCTTGTCATCTTTTGCAAAAGCAGACAGCATTGTAGGAGGTAAATGCTCCAGTCCCTTTTTTGTTTAAAGAATAAGAGTGGGTTTTGGAAATAGGGCACATCTTTCTGAGGCAGCGGGTCAGAGCTATGAGGAGCTGCTTGTGGGCTCTTTGAAGTCGATGAGGATTGAAGTCATCGTCAGGATCTTAGGAACGCTGATTCAGCTGAGCCAGCTGATCACTGGAAGCCCAATCAGTATCCTGGTTGTATGCCTGATGTTGTATGTGGGAAAACCAAGGGCATCTATACTCCTGAGCTTTGAATTTAGAAGGACACTTTAAGGAAGATAAAGGAGTCTACTAGGAAAGGACATTGGAATTTTGGTGCCAGGCTGACTTAAATTTGAATTCCAGTTCCATCTCTCCCTGGTTCTTACTCATTCCTTGCACAAGTAACTTCTTACTAAGCTACCTTCCCTGCATCTGTAAAATGGGGGTTTACTATGGGAGATAAATCATGATATAGAGCACTTCTATGGTATATCATAGAGAAACATCAAAAGAAAAAAATGTCCTGCAAGTTTTTGTTTGTTTTTCATTTTTAAAGTAAAGATGCTCTTTGAAAGCCCAAATGGAGACGTCTACTTTGCTATCCATCTTATGGAGGAAGATGATAACTGTCTGTTTTCTCTGAGTTGATAGTTAAGTCCTTCTTAATTCTAATCAAACGAAAAATTATAGAATCAGACACAGCAGACAAAACGACAACAACAAAACAACAGCAACAACAACACACACACACACACACACACACACACACACACACACACACACACACACACACACACACACACCAGGCATAAAACAATGGTTCTTTGCAACAATGTACCAGATAGGACTGTTCATTCTCCAGTGTCCTTATTACAAAATCCCAGCTCCATGTACTTGTTTTGTTAACTTTTACTCTTATTTTTGCAGAATTATCCTGGGATCTTCAGTCCCCATGCAGGATTGCAGGATGTTGGGGCTACATGACTCTGTATTGAGCAAGGAAACAGGAAACCCTTCCTAACTACTCCACCCAGCATCCCACCCAGGACACACACTCTCTACCTAATCATGGGGGATAAAAAAGGATTTAGAAGAAACAGAGAAAGAGTTATTTCTTTTTATTTTCCTAGGATCATGCAGATAAATTAGTTTATATAAAACAATGAAGAAATCCAAGCTATGCTAAGAGTAGGGGACACAAGTAACTGACATCCTCATTAATGTTACATTTATATTTTCTCCAAAGTGGTAGTAAAATTCAAGGTAAAGATGAACAATATGCAATATCCCAGGAGATATGCGAAAGAGAATCTGAAAGAACAGAACAGTTATCTATAGGTTGTAGGAAAAATACTATATTTATTGGAAAGTACTTAGTATTGCTTTAAAAATAAGATAATGCCATTTCTTCATTGTTTCAGAACTGAATTCTATTCCAGCCTCCCTCCCAAACATGTACTGTTTCTTAAGCAATCTTTGGATCATCAGGACTTACTTGATGATGCTCTCCGGAATGTGGATGCAATTCATTGGGATCAGCTCACTGAGTTCTGATAAGCTACTGACATATTTAATTTTACTGCTGAATTTTGAACTAGAAAATGGAAAAAATACAGGATTAGTCACTACTTCATCCCTTGTAAGACCATTGCCTTTTCTTGAAAATCCTGACATGCTTAACACCTTGCCCCAGAACTCTTACTAAGAAAAAAGACTAATGTTATTTGAGTATTACTATGTTCCAGACACAGATTTGTTGCTAATGTTTTTAATTTATTTTTAAAATTAACAAATAAAAACAGTGTATATTTAGTGTGTACAACCGAATGTTTTTTGATTTTTATTATTTTTTTAATTTTAAAGAAGTGGGTACAATTCAGGGTTACGTATACAAATATTCATTATGCAGGTACCCTTGTTGATGAGGTGTGCCTCTCCCTTCCCTGGCAGTTTCACTGAACTGCTAATCCTACCCCAACCTGATGTTTTAAAATATGTACACATTGTGGAAGGACTAAATTGAGTTAATTAACATATATAGTACCTCTCATCCTTATTCTCTTTTTTTGTGATAACAATACTTAAAATCTACTCTCTAAACACTTGTCAAGGATACAGTACCCTGTTAGTAACTGCATTCAACATGTTGTACAGCACTGCTCTTGAACTTATTTCTCATCTAACTAAAATTTCTTTTTTTTTTGAGTTGGAGTCTCACTCTGTTGCCCAGGCTAGAGTCCAGTGGCACGCTCACGGCCACTGCAGTCTCAACCTGCTGGGCTCAGGCGATCCTTCCACCTCAGCCTTCCAAATAGTTGGAATTACAGGCATGCACCACCACACTTGGCTAATTTTTTTGATTTATTGTAGAGATGAGGTCTTGCCAAGTTACCCAGGCTGGTCTTGAATCTGTGGGTTCAGGCAATCCTCTCACCTCGGCCTCCCAAAGTGCTGGGATTATAGGTGTGAGCCACCGTGCCCGGCCTAACTGAAATTTCATATTCTTTGACTGACATCTCCTCAACTGCACCCCACCCCACCCCAGTCCCTGGTAACTACTGTTCCACTCTCTACTTCTAATGAGTTCAACTATTTTAGATTTCACATATAAGTGAGATCATGTGGTATCGGCCAGAAACTGTTTTCAGTGGTTTATATATATCAACTCATGTATCTCTTATTATAGCCTAGGGAGGTGGTTACATCTTCTTCTTAAAGATAAGGGAACTGAAACAGGGCACTTTTTGCCCAAGGTCTCACCATTAGTAAGTGGCAGACCCTGGCTTAATGGAGGCAGGTTGACTCTGGTGTCCACACTCTTGACCACACATTGCACAGCCTCCCAGTGGTTTCTGCCACTCTGAATAGTCACCCCTTTATGGCTTGTTTGGCTTTATTTGTATGTTTGTATGTTTTTACAAACAAAAATCTTATCATTAGTTATTTCAGAACCTACCAAGGTTGATGATATTTTAAAAATCTATGTAACTGGCATGGTGGCTCAAGCCTGTAATCCCAGCACTTTGGGAGGCCGAGGCGAATGGATTGCCTTAGCTCGGCGGTTTGAGGGCAACTTGGTGAGACTTTGCCTCTACAATAAATAAAAAAATAAGCCAGGCGTGGTGGTACGAGCCTGTGGTTTCAGCTACTTGGAAGGTTGAGGCAGAAGAATCATCACCTGAGCCCAGCAGGTCGAGACTGTGGTGGCCATGAGTGTGCCACTGCACTCCAGCCTGGGTAAACAGAGTGAGACTCTAACTCAAAAAAAGCCAAAAAATCTATGTAAATTCATTTTTCTTTTTTTCCAGATTTATTTAAAAAATTTTTTAAGTTTTTTTTTAATTATTTTTTTCTAAACCTAACACTACCCTGTGAATATTTTTTTAGTTTTTTTAAGTTTTAGTTTGGGGCCGGGTGCGGTGACTCATGCCTATAATCCTAGCATTTTGGGAGTCTGAGGTGAGAGGATTGCCTGAGCCCACAGGATCGAGACCAGCCTGGGCAACTTGGCGTGACCTCATCTCTACAATAAATAAATTAAAAAAATTAGCCGGTCATGGTGGCAGATGCCTGTAGCTCTAGCTACTTGGAAGGCTGAGGCAGAAGGATCACCTGAACCCAATCTGTGGTGAGTTCAGATCAAGGCTGTGGTGGCCAAGAGCATGCCACTGCCTTCCAACCTGGCTGACAAAGTGAGACTCCAACTCAAAAAAAAGAGGAAATTTTAATTTGGAAGTACATTCCAGATGGACCAACAAGCAAAAATATGTTCCAATAATTGGATTTGAGTTACAAACAGCTTTCATCTGTGTGTGATCATTTTAGATATGTGTAAACGCATGGAAAACAACTCAGAAGGGAACCAATGAAACTCATAGAAGAATCTACCTCTGGGGAAGGGGCTTAGTTTTTTTTTTTGAGTTGGAGTCTCACTCTCTCGCCCAGACTGGAGTGCAGTGGCAAGTTCCTGACCACCACAGCCTTGACCTGCTGGGCTCCGGCGATCCTTCTGCCTCAGCCTTCCAAGTAGCTGGAACTAAAGGCGCACGCTACCACGCCCAGCTAGTTTTTGATTTATTGTAGAGACGATGTCTCACCAAATTGCCTGGGCGGTCTCGAACCTGCGGGCTCAGGCAATCCACTCGCCTTGGCCTCCCAAAGTGCTGAGATTACAGGCTGAGCCACCGAGACTGGTCTAATCTGCATTCTTATGATAGGTAAGACTTTATCTGTAAAACTCTCTAGAAAATGAATAATTTCTTTTACTTAACAGTTTCAAGTCTACTATATGATGAGCCACATCTTACTTTATTTCATATCTCTCAAATGTAAGGTTATACAGGACCTAACAAAAAATAAGTGAAGAGTAAATATGCACTAAGCCAAACTGAATGGAAATCAAGAATCCTCGAGGGTGGTCAAAATACAGCTCTCAAAATGGCTGTCTAGACTCTTTACCTGGCTTGGGTGACCTACACAGTATTTCTTCAGAAGAAATGGAACAATTAAAACAAGATATGGTTTCTGTTTCTGTCTTTGGTTGGTGTTTATTTTCCATTTTTATGTGACTCTACTTTCCTGTTCTCTACATAAATACATACCTTTTTAAATGTGTTGTCTATTGCCTTTTCTAATGTGCCATGAAAATCCTACCACTTCATCTACCATGTTTACAGCAAGCAATTTAAAAGGTCATGTTTTATTGATTGATTGATTGATTGATTGATTCGGAGTCTCACTCTGTCATCCAGGCTGGACTGCAGCGGCATACTCACAGCCACCGCAGCCTCGACCTGCTGGGTCCAGGCGATCCTTCCATCTCAGCCTTCCAAGTAGCTTGAACTACAGGCAAGCACCACCACTCCCGGCTAATTTTTTGACTTATTGTAGACTGCGGTCTCGCCAAGTTGCCCAGGCTGGTCTCGAACCCGTGGGCTCAGGCAATCCTCTCACCTCGGCCTTCCAAAGTGCAGGGATTATAGGTGTGAGCCACGCCACCTGACAATTCTCACTCTTAATTGGGGAATTTCGATGGATAGTCCAAATGATCTTTTCAGGAAACTCAGAGGCAAAATATATTTTCCTAGGTAGTCTTAGTTTATAAATTCTCATTTTTAGGACAATGAATACAGATTTTTAAAAACTACTAGTGGTACTTCTCCTTTTACTGCAATAATAACTCTACCTTATGAAAGGCCGTGTCACTGCAAGGATTGTTCTGATAAACCAAGATGGATGAACAATTATGAATGATTTCAAGTTCTTCCTCAACCTATTTTGAAAAAAGAAAAAAATACATAACCCATTTTCTCTGGAAATCAAAATAGAATATATATATTTTTAGGAAGTCTAAGTAAATTATTATTACCTGATAGGAAGGTATAAAATGGTCATGATTAGTGAAACCGATGCTTTTTGAGACATAATTTGAAATTTGTACAAGTCAAACCTCATTTTCTCATAGGAATAAATATAAAATAGAGCAGTTATGTGTTTAGAGTGCATTAATCTATAACCATCATGGTGTATTTTTGCTTAATGGTACTTTTCATTTTTGTCAGCATTACCTTTACTCTTTTGAAAGAAAGTTGCTCTTAATAGCAACGTAGACAAGTTATTTTATCTTACTGGATCTTGGTTTCTTCTTCTGTATAATAAAAATAGTAACAGTACATCATGTGGTTGTTTTCCCTTAGTTTACCGATTTAACAATCCTGATTTTCAGGCACACTTCTCAGCATTAGCCATGTTACTTTTTGAATGTTTATAGAACAGATTTTAGTTAATATCATAGGGCACTCACATGTTACTGTGCAAGAAGCCACATCGAAAGGGAATACCACATATACTGTAGATATCATGAATGCACATGTTTATTGTGACAATTTTTCTGTAGATGGCAATGAAGGGTTTTGTTCTAACAAAACCAGTATGAATGGAAGCATCTAGAAGGGACACCTGAAAGAACTGTATGGGTTAGTAGTCAACTTGAACTGACAGCGAATGTTGAAGTAAGAGCACAATGTTTGTCCAAGTCCCAGTAGTACCAGTGCACATAAACAGCAGCAAGGTCATGTGATACCACTAAAGAATCATGGGTATTTTGGTTTATCAGCTCAAGTTGCATCTTAATGGGGCAACTACATGTGCATAGTTTAAAATAGACTTTGTCTGCCAGGATAGAGATCATATTTGCCAAAATCTGAGGAGGATTTGCTGTATTTCAACTTTGGGTCAAGTTACACTTTTATTACTATTTCTATAATTTATTCTTTTAAATACGCATAACTGAATGTTCCTAAAATGTAATTGCATTTTTGATAGGCTAAAAGGAAATTGACATGGGAGCTACTGAAGAAGTCAAAATAGTGATTAAATAATGGAACTCACATACCGTCTGTCAATCATCTGGTAGCATTTCTTCATCCAGCCTAGTCCTGGCATCTTCCGTCTTGGTGTTGCACCATTCAAGTACACAATCATATAATCTTCGGCTACCATCAACTCTAAAGTACTTATTACATATCTGATCACAGGAAGGAAAAGGAGTGTTTTCAGTTTCCACATGAAATATTTCATCTTATGTACACTATCATTATATAACATTTAAATTAGAAGGTGTATGACATTTAAGGATGATTGTGCATATTACCTCTTTACCTTGAGAAGAATTAATACAGTTACCTAAGATCATTCCTCTGAGAGTGCATATTACTCCTTTCTTTGGGTGGTTATCTTTTTTTTTTTTTAATGCTGGTACACTAGAAAAATGTGTGGGTTGGAAACCTGACTTTCAAAAATGTCAACAATGTTATCAAATACTAAGGGCAACTCAGAATAAATAAGAGGAGATATGAATAAAGTCAGGTTATGGTCAGTCTTAGCTGATGAGGAACACGCTATCAAGAAATAAAAATATTAATACTTCACCCAAAGGAAATGTTATAACATTTTAAAATGTAACCCAAACTCTGTTCATTTTGTTTTCTATTTCTATTCTACCGACAAAAGAGCTCCTTTGAAGACTTTGGCCTCTTAAGCAGTATTTCTTGACAGAAACCTCAGACTTTTTATGAAAGCCTTAGAATATTCTATATCATCTATTTCCTTAAGTTAAAGATGCCATTACATGCCACAGACATTAACTCAAAGCACTTTGTCATAAGTATCACTCACAGGAAAAGATTTTCCATGACATAGTGGTAATCCGCCCGACTGCTGTCTGGCAGAAAACAGGCGGCAAACACAATGATGGCATTTAGACCGTCCCCATAGTATCCTGGGGGACAAACAAAAAGACATTTGTAACCGATTGAAAGCTCTTAACAAGGTAATATCTGACCTAAAGGAAAAAATCTAAATCCTTGGCAAGTGTGTATATGTGGAAATGAATATTATATTGACTACAGTTCTATAAGTATATACACATGTAATTATCTTTTAGTAGTTAACATACATGTCATATAGCATCATATTGTACTAATATATTTGTTGTATGTAGGATATAATACATCAAGAATGATTGTTGTTGTATATACTTGTGAATGGGGTATATCAGTATTCAACTTATAAAAAAGAGGGCAACACTTTTTGACTTATGTGTTTCTAATCTATGCAATACTAATTGATATAGTACTTCTCTCTTCTGATGGCTGAGAAGGTGGTCCTGTTTGATCCTCTTTAGTTCTTTTTTTTTTTGAGTTGGAGTCTCACTCTGTCGCCCAGACTGGAGTGCAGTGGCCACTCCCGGCCACCGCAGCCTCGACCTGCTGGGCTCCGGCAATCCTTCCGCCTCAGCCTTCCAAGTAGCCGGAATTATAGGCATGTGCTACCACGTCCGGCTGATTTTTTGATTTATTGTGGAGATGAGGTCTCACTGCCCAGGCGGGTCTCAAATCCGCAGGCTCAGGCAATCCACTCACCTCAGCCTCCCAAAGGCGCGGGATTACAGGCTGAGCCACCGAGCTCAGCTCCTCTTTAGTTCTTTTAACTTTGAGACCCTGGTTAATGTGAAGGTAGAATTTTTATTTATTTTTTATTTTTTATTTTTTTTTAGTTGGAGTCTCACTCTGTCGCCCAGACTGGAGTGCAGTGACCACTCCCGGCCACAGCAGCCTCGACCTGCTGGGCTCCAGCGATCCTCCCGCCTCAGCCTTCCAAGTAGCCAGAACCACAGGCATGCGCTACCACACCCGGCTAATTTTCGATTTATTGCAGAGACGAGGTCTCGTCAAGTTGCCCAGGTGGATCTCAAACCTGCAGGCTCAGGCAATCCACTCGCCTTGGCCCTCCCAAAGTGCTGGGATTACAGGCTGAGCCACCAAGCCCAGGCTTGAAGGGAGAATTTCACCACTGAATTACAAGATAATCTCAGACTCACATACTCCAGTGACCAGATACTAATGAACAGACAAGTAAAGCCCTTTTATTTTTATTTTGAGGACTGCAGTGTTCTTGGGATCTCTGGACTCATCAGACAGTATAGGAATCCTTGGAAAATTCTAGCCAGATCCAGAATAACTGAACACAGAATTCAGAACCTAGCTTCTTAAAGGAAAGGAAAAACTCAAGAAGGGTCTGACTGAATTATCTTTGAGTTTTATGAAAATAAGTGCTTTGGGGAAATTTAGTAACATAGGGTGTGGGTGGGAGAGTGCTCTTTGCAGGTAGGGCTGAAGAAAACAGCATGTGGGAAATGCAGCCAAGTGTGACCATTGAAACACTAGGGGTCAAGAAAAAGGTAGACCAGGCTCAGTGGCTCAGCCTGTAATCCCAGCATTTGGGAGGCTGAGGTAAGTGGACTGCCTAAGCCCGTGGGTTTGACACCATCCCAGGCAACTTGGTGAGACCTTGTCTCTACAATTAAACAAAAATTAGCCAGATGTGGTAGTGCATGCCTGTAGTTCTGGCTGCTTGGAAGGTTGAGGTGGAAGGATCGCCGGAGCCCAACAGGTCGAAGCTGGGGTGGCCGTGCGTGTGCCAATATACTTCAGTCTGGGTGACAGAGTGAGACTCCAACTCAAAAAAAATGAAGAGAAAAAGGTAGATACATCTCAGGACATTATTCCCATCTTTGGAAAGCTCTGACATAATTTCAGTATTGCCCATCTTTTAAGCAAGCTCTACATTCTCTCAGAGCTCACCTTTGACACTCATGGCAGGTGTTGGTCAAAATCCCCATAGGTAGGTCTATGGAATGCCATGTGTCTTTCACACTTCAAAAGGGAAGCAATGCCTGAATTTTCATTTTTTAATAACTCTGTTTAAACACTTGCAATTTGTGTCCTGTAGTTTTGGTCTTTAGAATCATTAGATAGAGATTTCCTCAAAGCTTTGAGTAGGAGGACAGGACATGCACTTAAGCCTGATTCAGTCCTCCCAGAACTCAGTATGCTCATGTTTTCAGAACTGTAAATAACCCTCTGGTGATTACATGACAGTGAAATATTGGCTGTGAATGGGGTTAGATATGACTGGGGTTAATTAACTCTTGAAAAGCAGTTTAATAAGATGTTTTCTATAAAAATCGAGAGTATGACTTTACCACAAAAAAAAAGGGTGGAGGAAGAACATGATACCACCCAAAAATATATCCAATTATGGGTTTGTGTGTATTGCTAATTTGAGGTTGTTGTATACAGTACTTATGGTATATATCTTAGAAGACGCTACTTATGTAAGTATACACCTGATGCAAAACGTGTTTGTGAAAGAGCATTGTAGTAGCTTCCCTCTGGATTTTTTGCTTTAGTTCCATCTTTTCCAATATGTAGGTATTTATCAACTTCTTTTTAGAATGCAATATAAAGGAAAATGGCAGAAGGAGATGTATTTTAATACAAGAAGTGCTTGTTTCACCAAACAGTTTCATTTCAGAAGATTCATAATTAAATGGAAACCCACAAAGAATATGGTAGTAGCCATACTAATCCTTACACCATAAAGGTATGCAATTCATTCTCAGCACAATGAAAAGCTGGAGTTCATTGAAAGAGACAAGAGACACAATGAATCCAACCTAAAAACATATAAGAACGCATCCTCTCAAAAGCGTCTTTCTAAATGTAGCTGCCTGGCTTCAGGGTGTCAGTATAATTTAATGATCATGACTACTCAGTTACTTTGATTTCTTTATTTATTTCTAGGGTTTTTATTTATTTATTTGTTGAGTCGGGGGTCTCACTCTGTTGCCCAGACTGGAATGCAATGGCACGATCATGGCTCAACACAGCCTCAACCTCCTGGGCGCGACTATCCTTCTGCCTCAGCATTCTGAGTACCTGGGGCTACAGGCACATGGCACCACACTTGGCTTATTTTTTGGTGTTTTACAGAGATGAGGTCTCAATATGTTGCCCAGGCTGGTCTTGAACTCCTGGGCTCAAGCAATTTTCCTGCCTCAGCTTCCCAAAATACTGGAGATTGCAAGTATGAGCCAGTGTGTCCAGCCAATTTCTGGAGAATTTCTAAGAATTTTTTTTTAAAGGAAAAAACTGAGGCTTATAACCAGTGCTTCATTGTGTAAATGCTGTCTACTCTTGGAATGTTGTAGAATCGTATTCATTTAACCAAAGGAATACTCAGGGATCAACTTACTACTTCAGGATGGCTAAGTAGGAAATGCATGTTTATATAAAAATTACTGAAATGTACAAATGAAAATGGCTGTTTGTACTTTTGGGTGGAGGAAGGGAAGAAGAGGCAAAAAAGGAAAAGAAGAGATCAGGAGAAGAGGTGGTGACTTAAGAAAGGAAATAAAAAAAAAAGAATTCCACATGAACATTTCCCTCCTAAACCAAGAGCTGGTGCCATTGCTGTCGGGTGTGGGAGTTAGTTCAAAAAATACAGCAATTGCTGGCAAAGTGTGATAGCTAGACTGAGTAGGACCATTTGCTTTTTGCCCCTCCCAGATACCTTCAAGGGGGGTCGGCTAACACCTCAATTCTATTCTAAAATATGAAGCTTTCTCAAGTATAGTTGCCTGTTGGCAACAGCATCATTCATTTGAAGTTTGTTTTTTAAGACACTTCTTTTGTTAGACTCTTTTCTCAATAAACATGAGGTAAATTCAGGGCGTATGTGCTGGGGCGTTTGGGCAATCCCACCACGGCGCCTCCTGAGACCCTCTGAAGCAACGATGGCAAACCTTACCTGAGGTGGCACAGACAGGTATGAAAGGGACGTAACACAAGTTTGCTGGCCAACAAATGGAATGGAGAGAGAAGGAAAGATGTCACAGTCTCAACAAAACATATACACACACACACATCAGCCGGCAACTCTTGTCATTCTTTCCAGGAACATTTGTCTGGCAATACTGCAGAGAAGGTTACCTGAATCTCCTATAACGAAATAAGACAAGTAAAAAAAAATAAAAAAGGGAAAAAAGAAAGGAAACTCCTCGTTACAATTCTTTGGTGCGACCGTCCTTCATTACTTAAATGTGTTCTCTGCTCCAAGTTTTTGAAAAGCCAGTTCTGGCTTCAGAGTAACCCCACACTGCTGGCTAAGCAGAACCACCCATAATCCTCTTAGTTTTTATTTATGCAGATGGTGGGAATACTGCTCTCAGGCTCGCAAGATATGAGCATTGGTGTTGTGAAATCACCCCCACATGACTGATAAAGCAACTGAGGTCTAGAGAAGGTAGACCTGTGTACCTGTGTACTAAGTTCACAGACGAGAACGAGTCTTGGCCCCAGTCTTCTGTATTGTGTGCAGGGCCTCTGACATGGCCTCATATCAAGTCAGCAAAGCTGAAGGCTAAATTATTTGCTCAAATACAGTTCTCATGCACCAGTATTCCCAACTGGTGGGACCATTAGCAAGGCCTCACTTTGTGGGTAACTTCTGCAGCTCTTTTGATTATGTACACATTGCAGTTGACTGCACAGATACTGTATAGCTGGCACCTCCTTACTGGCCTGAATGAAAAAACTTCATCATAGCAAAATGCCAAGCACCAAAGTAAAATTCATGCTCACTGTGGAGTGACTGCTGCTTTTTTATTATTTTATTTTATTTATTTTTTGAGTCAGGGTCTCACTCTGTCACCAGGCTAGAGGGCAGTGGCACGATCACAGCTCACCGCAGTCTCAGTCTCCTGGGCTCAGGTGATCCTTCCACTTCAGCCTCCAGAGTAGCTGGTACTACAGGCATATACCACCACGCCGGCTAACTTTTTAATTTTTATTTTGTAGAGAAGAGGTCTCGCTATGTTGCCCAGGCTGATCTCAAACTCCTAGGCTCAAACAATCCTCCCGCCTCGGCCTCCTAAAATGCTGGGATTATAGGCATTGCTACTTTTTAAATGCTCATCAAAAGGATGACAAATAACTCTAGGTTGATATTTAAGGAGCTGTATCATCATTTTGGTCTAAGATGGTAGTATAAGCTTCCGATATGGAAGACAAAGCTTTGGCAAATTCAGAAGTAAAATCTGAGCTATCTTTACCTACAGAGCACAAGAGTTGTTCAGGGTGTAGGAAAAGGTGGCATCTCGCTAACATTCTGGGTGGTTGCAGCCAGAGAAACGTCATGCATGCCAGCACCTGGAGATGGCTGAGGCAGAGTTGGCGAGAGGTGGCAGTTACACAGTCACACAGACAAAAGCCGAGCTCATGACACAGAATGGAAGGAAGCAAATGCCAAGGGGAGGAGGTGGCAGGGTTACAGAGCACAGCAAACCAGGTTAGCCCTGAGGTGTCAGGTAAAATTTTACAAAGATGGTGACAAGCAGAAGCAGTGACTTTTTCTGACCATCAGTGTGCTGATGAGAATTGCTCTCTCCTCCTGATGTGGGCAATGGGCCAATGTGCTTAACATATTCATCCAACCCACCTAGAGAACAAGTAGGTGAGTCTACTGGAGTTTTTTTTTTAATTTAGACACAAAGTCTTGCTCTCTCAGGCTGGAGGGAGTGCAGTGACACTGTCATAGCTCATTGCAGCCCCAAACTCCTGGGCCCAAGGAATCCTACAGGTGTGCATTACCACATCTGGCTACTTTTTTTTTTTTTTTTGAGTTGGAGTCTCACTCTGTCGCCCAGACTGGAGTGCAGTGGCCGCTCCCGGCCACCGCAGCCTCGACCTGCTGGGCTCCGGTGATCCTTCCGCCTCAGCCTTCCAAGTAGCCGGAATTACAGGCATGCGCTACCATGCCCGGCTGATTTTTTGATTTATTGTAGAGATGAGGTCTCGCTGCCCAGGCGGGTCTCGAACTTGCGGGCTCAGACAATCCACTCACCTCAGCCTCCCAAAGGCGCAGGATTACAGGCTGAGCCACGGAGCCTGGCTTACTTTTTATTTTTTGTAGAGATGCATCTCACTATGTTGCCCAGGCTATCTTGGCTCAAACAATTCTCCCACTTCAGCCTCCTTAAGTGCTGGGATTACAGGTGCCAGCCATCCCTTGAGACTTAGTATTAAGAGACAAACTGGATTTATGATGGCAGCAAAATCATCTGTTCTTCTCAACATGGGAACTCTAAATTTAGAAGCTGAAGGTGCCGGGCATGGTGGCTCATGCCTGTAATCCCAGCACTTTGAGAGGCGGAAGTGGGAGGATTGCCTGAGTCCAGGGGTTCGAGACTAGCCTAGGCAACTTGGCAAGACCTCATCTCTACAATAAATAAGAAAATTAGCTGGGTGTGGTGATATACGACTGTGATTCTGGCTACTTGGAAGGCTGAGGTGGAAGGATCATCTGAGCCCATCAGGTCGAGGTTGAGGTGAACCTGAAGGTACCACTGCACTTTAGCCTGGGCACCCGAGTGAGCCTCCTATTCCAAAAAAAAGAAACTGAAAGGTAAAAATGTTTATAGGGATTATCACTGGGTAACTTTGATTTACTTTGACAGACTTTTCTTTTTTTTTCTACTTTTTTTTTTTTTTTTTGAGTTGGAGTCTGTCTCTGTCCCCAGACTGGAGTGCAGTGGCACGCTCCCAGCCACCGCAGCCTCGACCTGCTGGGCTCCGGGGATCCTTCTGCCTCAGCCTTCCAAGTAGCTGGAACTACAGGCATGCGCCACCATGCCCAGCTAATTTTTTATTTATTGTTGAGATGAGGTCTCACCAAGTTGCCTGGGCGGGTCTCAAACCCGCAGGCTCAGGCAATCCACTCACCTCGGCCTCCCAAGGTGCCGGGATTACAGGCTGAGCCACCGAGCCTGGCCATTTTTTTTACTTTTTAAAATGATCACAGGCTACTATCGTAGTACATTTTGTTTTTGTTTTTGAGTTGGGGTCTCACTCTGGTTCTCAGGCTGGAGTGTAGTGGCATGATTATGGTTCACTGCAGCCTTGACCATTTGGGTTCAGGCGATCCTTCCACCTCAGCCTCCTGAGTAGCTGGGACTACAGGTGTAAGTTATTTATTTACTTATTTTTTTGTAGAGACAGGTCCCACTATGTTGCATGGGTTGGTGTTTTGTTTTTCTTTCCAAAAAGCAAACAATCCAAAAACACCTTATGGGTAGTGCAAAGCAAGTGTGACCATCTAGGAAGACTGGGAAGATTGAATGTTCCAGTTGTTTGCATATAAAAACAGAAGAGTTGACTCTACAGCCAATTTTGCATGATTGGGCCAGCCCTTATTCCCTGAGAGAAAACTGCCCCTGGCCTCCCAGCACCTTTCACTGGGCTCTATGACCATTTCAGGTCAAACAGTAAGGCAAGAAAAAGAAGGCTCATGGCCAGGGGCATTGAAATGGCATTCACCTTCACTACCATGGCCAGAGGTCCTGGGTGGTCCTGATACTTAGGTGGAGGCAGCAGTGCATGGAATGAGAGGTGAAAAATCTGCCAGTGGATGGATATTTGATTGAAATAATAAAACGGGCCAGGCACAATGGCTCAAGCCTATAATCCCAGCACTTTGGGAGGCTAAGGTGGAAGGATCATTTCAGCCCAGGATTTTGAGACCAACCTGAGCAACATAGTGAGACCTCATCTCTACAAAAAATAACAAAAATTAGCCAGATGTGGTGGTCTACAGGCACCTGTAGTTCCAGTTACTCAGGAGACTGAGGATTGCTTGAGCCCAGGAGATCAAGGGTGCGGTGAACTGGGATCATGCTACTGCACTCCAGCTTGGGTAACAGAGTGAGTCTCTGTTTAAAAAAACACAAAACACAACAAAACAAAACCCCCAAATGGCCTTCTGCTCTTTAGAAAACAAAAGCCACAGGTTTGATACAGTGCCAAGACTCTTATTTTCCTGTTCTCATTAAGGAAAAGAGAATTTTGAGAGCAACAACTGCTTTGTCAGCTTACACTTTTTCTGGAACAGCTGGGTAGATAAGAGTGATGCCTCAGGACTTCAGGGAAGGAATGCATGCAGCAGAAAAATAAAAAAGCTGTCGATGTTTTCTGAAGTTGACAACGTTAAATGTGTTGCTTGTGCTCATCTGACTTTTTGTGAATCTCAAATTAATCAAGGCCACATGTTCTCAAAGCCCCCAAGAAAGCGCTGGAAATACAAAACACACTTTTCCATCTTCCTTGTCCCTCACTAAATAGGTGGAGGCTTTGACTGGGATTGGCTCTTGTCAGGCCTAGAATTAAAGTAGCTTATAAAAAAGCAAACTTCAGGTAGGGAAAACAATGACCAAGCCGAGTCTTAAAAGATTTTCTAAAGTTTTTGGAGAGTATTCAAAAGACCATTTTATAATTAGAAGCACCTCTGGGGTAGTGATATTACTTCAAGCCACAGTGGTACATACTCTAACCTATTCAGTTCAACCCTACAATCAACGGATAGAAATCCTGAACAGACGTGATTAAACTGGACAACTATGGCTTTCAAGAAATTTGCACAGAAGTTAAGATTATAGCTATCAGTACATGGTGTTAAGGGTATTTTTCACACTGGAAAATTGATTTTGCCTAGTAGGCTTTCAAACGTTTACTAAATGGAGTATGAGGAAATAGCATACTTAACTCTATAGTTTCCTGAATACTGACGGCAGAATTGGGTCTTTGGGATATTGTGCTACAGAGAACCGTAGTTTTATTTTCCAGTTTAAAAATGGCTACCCTCTTCCCATTTTCCTGATTTGCACAGAGTGTGACTACCTCCATGAGAAATGACTCTCCTGTAGGGCTCGATGACTTTCATGTCAATGCGCTGCTCTTGTTCTCCAATCACCACTGTCCTCCACAGTCGGTTGTCCTCCCGTTCCTCTTCAGCGGTATATTCTGGAATAGACTCTGACTCTTGGCCAGAATCTTTGTTGGTTGTGGAATCTTCTGGAAACGAAGCACAGAGCAGGGCTGAAAGAGCAAGACCTCCATAGTGGAGGCGGCTAAAATGACTAGATTGTAAGCTACCTCTTGGCAGAGTCAACCTGATAGATACCCCTGTTTTGTATAGCTTTTATAGATCTTAGCACCATCCTGAGCACATAAAGTACACTTGGCAAAATCTTTTTTATCGACTGAACAACCCAATCCATTGCCAAGGCCATGTTGAGGAAGAGACTAGATACCAGGTTAGAGCTGTCTTGCACTGGTAGTGGTCCAGGGCGTGTAAGCCAGTAGCAACTCATCCTTGATCACCTAGGTCAGAGACTGCAGGTCTTTCTGATGGGTGAAAGGCTATTTATCAGGCCCAGAGACTCTTGGATTTGGGGGGCCACATCTCATGAATGTTCTGAGTCCACGGGGGCTCTCAGTTTGGAATCATAATGATACTACCAGCCAAGACTCTTGCTCTAAGACTCTTACAACAGAGTTGAAACCCCTATTGGGAGCACATCTGGACATAAATTTGATATCTGTTCCTGTGTATTGTTTCAAAATATGCTATAGGAAGGTTTTTCAATAAGTGCAAAATAAACAACTTTGTAGACCAGAAATGCTCCAAGACCCAAAATTCACAAGGCTCCTAAATTTGTGGATACATAAGTCAATAAAAAAGCCCAGGGAGTATTCTTTGAAGAGAAATTTACTCTTGTGCATCCAAGAAAAGTAACTGTGTTTTGTTTGTTTGTTTTGTAAAGAATAAACAGCAGCTGGACTTGGTGACTCAGCCTGTAATTTGGGAGGCCGAGGCAAGTGGATTGCCTGAGCCTGTGGGTTCAAGACCAGCCGGACAACTTGGTGAGTCCTCGTCTCTACAATTAATCAAAAATTAGCTGGGTGCAGTGGCATGCACCTGTAGTACTTGGAAGGCTGAGGTGGAAGGATCGCCGGGGCCCTGCGGGTCAATGCTGGGGTGGCTATGAGTGTATCACTGACGGAGTAAGACTCCAACTCAAAAAAATAAATAAAAATAAACAGCAATTGTTTCCATTTTTACTAGAAGTATTGGTAGAGTTTAACAATGGTTATTCTTTGTATGTTTAAGTAGTTTGAAGGAAAAGGATATTTATAACCTTCACAAAAATTCTGAGATATTATCATTCTTATTTTTCTATTAGTGGAAAAAGACCATTGAATTTACTTGTATTCCTCCTGTGGCACTTTGATAATAATATCAGCAATACTTTATTAAGTATCTACCTTGTACCAGGTATTAATACTAGTAGTAGGCATTAAAATGGGTATTATACCAATGGAAAAACTGACTCTGAAGTTGTTCAGATCACAGAGATAGTAAGTAAATACAGTCAAACCTTTACCTTTTTAAACTCTTCTAAGCTATCACATGGTACCTTGACTGTGTGAATCTTATTCTTTGTTTTAAGAGGCTGTGAGTTGCTTGGCCAGAATGTTCATCATGAATGTTCACCTCCACCAACTCACTCCCTACTTAGCTTGGAAACCTACTCAGAACACTCAATAGAAGTTGGAAGGGTGAGTGGGTAAATAAAGGAAAGCTTGGACAAGTTCCTGGAAATAGAAGTAATCTGTAAGGGAGCAGTAACCATGCCATCATGTTCTGGAAGATTCTGCAATTGTACATTAAAAAGTGTCAAATTACCCATGACTTTGATAGCAACATAAAGTTCAGTAGGGAAGCAGTCTTAGTCTTTTTTGCCTCCTCCAGTAACTGCCAGCATCTATAGAGCCTTGGTTAACTCTCTTTCCACTGTACTCCCACCAGCACCTGGCACTCGGATCCAGCACTCTGTCACTTGTGCAAATCCATCCATCTGGAATCCCTCCCTGATTCTTCCTATGTGGGTGAGAATCCTTGGAGGCTAATCTTAGCTCCCTTCCTAAGACCCTATTTCTTTCTCTTTTTTTTTGAGTTGGAGTCTCACTCTGTTGCCCAGACTGGAGTGCAGTGGCCGCTCCCGGCCACCGCAGCCTCGACCTGCTGGGCTCCGGCGATCCTTCTGCCTCAGCCTTCCAAGTAGCCGGAATTACAGGCATGCGCTACCACGTCCGGCTGATTTTTTTATTTATTGCAGAGATGAGGTCTCACTGCCCAGGCGGGTCTCGAACCCCCGGGCTCAGGCAATCCACTCACCTCAGCCTCCCAAAGGCACGGGATTACAGGCTGAGCCACCGAGCCCGGCTCTAAGACCCTATTTCCCATCAGGTCTCTATTCCCTCAGAACTCTGGACCATGAAGCGGATTTGTCTTCCGACGCTACTACAGTCCCTGTAATGAACTGGCATCCACTAAACCCTCATCATCATGTTTGGTCTCCTCTAACCTCTTCTAGCTGGACCTCTGCGCTCTCTGCACTCTCCATGGGGTGAAGATGGGGTTGTTTTGTCTTGCTTTCTGCACACTTTTATTGAAGTTGCCTCGTTAAAAATGCTTTTGCATACCACATTCTTTTTTTTTTTTTTTGCTTATAAAAGTAAAACACACAACATATAAATATTGTCAACTGATCTTTGGCAAAGGAGCAGAGGTAATACAAGGGCACAAAGTTAGTATTTTTGACAAATGGTGCTAGTACAACTGGACATCTACATGCAGAAAAATGAATCTACACCCAGACCTTGGATCTTCCACAAAAATTAACTCAAAATGGATCCTAGACCTAAATGTAAAATGTTAAACTTGTAAAACTCTTAGAAGACAACATAAGAAAAAATTGACCTTGGGTATGGAGATGACTTTCTAGACACAACAAAGGTATGATCTGTTAAATAAAATAACAAACTAGACTGTATAAAAATTTAAAACTTCTGATTTTGAATGACAATGTCAAGAGAATGAAAAGACAAGTCACAGACTTAGAGAAAATATTTGCGAAAAACACATCTGATAAAAGGCTGTTGTCCAAAATATGCAAAGAATGCTTAAAACTCAATAATAAGAAAATGAGGCCAGGCGCAGTAGCTCATGCCTACAATCCCAGCACTTTGGCAGGCTGAGGTGAGAGGATTGCCTGTGTCCAGGGGTTCGAGACCAGCCTGGGCAACTTGGAAAGACCCCCCATCTCTACAATAAATTAAAAAATGGGCCGGGCATGGTGGTACATGCCTGTAGTTCCAGCTACGTGGAAGGCTAAGGTGGAAGAATCGCCTGAGCCCAGCAGGTCGAGGCTGTGGTGGCCGGGAGTGTGCCGCTGCCCTCCACCCTGGGTGACAGAGTGAGACTCCTACTCATAAATAAATAAATAAATAAACAAATAAATAAATAAATAAATAGTAGCCCTCAAGTATTCCATTTTACTGATGTCCTTTAGCTTACGAATCCCATGGTGACAAAATTTAGATTTATTTCATTTTGTTGTTGCTCTTTATATAGAATTTGCTTAGTAAGTAACTGTATGTAGGTATCTTACTTTGTTTGTGCATATATTGCTATAGGGTAACTTTCTAGCACTGGAATTCTGGGCCAGCAGGTACAAACATTCACAAGTTTTATGGACAGTTTGCCCTTGAATATGCCACACCAAAATATATGAGAACACCTGTTTCCTCCCATTGTCAAGAACACTGGAGGCTACCAAAGTTTTTAACACTTGACAATTTAAGATAAAAATGGTCTCATTGTTTTAATTTGAATTTCTGTAATTATTAAAGAAAGTGAGATTTTAAAATTTTTGTTGGCTATTCATATTTCTCTTACCTACAGGGAGGTACCTTTTAAGTTCTTTCCCTATTGTGATCCTTTTTAATTTGTTAGAGTTCTTTATATAGATCTTTGTCATGTGTTGAGGTTATGTTTCTGCTTTGTGCTTACTCGATGCTGAGCTTTTTAACTTTATGTATGTTTTCCTGCCAAATAGAAACTTAGCATTTTATGTAGTTGCATCTGTTAAATCTTTTTTAATGTTTTTTTATTATCATAGTAAGAAAGGACATCTCTACCTTAAAAGTATATATGTATAAACAGACACACATACTTATAACATTTTCCTATAGTTTCTTTTTAAATAGAGCATTATTGTTCATTTTGGTGAAAAGTTTTGGATTGGACCTTTTTATGAGGTGTTACTTCTAATGTTTCAGAGAGTGGGAGCTGGCAAGTAACCAAGGCTTCTCCTTCTCTTCCTCTTCTGACTGGTGTAAATTAAAAAAGAAAAAAAAGAGTTATTTAAAATCTAGAAATGCATTAAGTTTTCCTAAGGTATTTCTTGCTTTTTTTTTGAGTAGGAGTCTGACTCTACTGGAGGGCAGTGGCACGCTCCCAGTCACTGCAGCCTTGACCTGCTGGGCTCAGGTGATCCTTCCACCTCAGCCTTCCAAGTAGCTGGAACTACAGGCACGCGTCACCATGCCTGGCTAATTTTTTAAATTTATTGTAGAGATGAGGTCTCGCCAAGTTGCCCAGGCTGGTCTTGAACCCACAGGCTCAGTAAATCCTCTCACCTCAGCCTCCCAAAGTGCTGAGATTACAGGCATGAGCCACTGTGCCCGGCCAGTATTTCTTTCTTTTTTTTTTTTTGAGTTGGAGTCTCACTCTGTCGCCCAGGCTAGAGTGCAGTGGCACGCTCCCAGCCACCGCAGCCTCAACCTGTTGGGCTCTGGCGATCCTCCCGCCTCAGCCTTCCAAGTACAGTGTGTGCTACCACGCCCAGCTAATTTTTGATTTATTGTAGAGATGGGGTCTCACCAAGTTGCCTAGGCAGGTCTTGAACCCGTGGGCTCAGGCAATCCACTTGCCTCGGCCTCCCAAAGTGCTGGGATTACAGGCTGAGCCACTGAGCCCAGCCAGTATTTATTTCTATAAATCAACAATACAAGCTAGTAGGAAATAAAGACAGGTTTATTTACTCCCTTGTAAATACTCCTTTGTAGCAAAGTCTTCTCTTACCCTAATAAAGTCTCTGCTCTACCTATAAATTACCATTCTCTGCAGACTTCATTTCCCACTATTTGCAAAAATTTTCAGATCT